GTAGGGAATGAGACTCACCTTGCACACTGTCCCAGGATGCTACACCATAGTAAGACATGCTCTCATGATGCCACCGTTGTATGTTCAGGTGAGACTTTGGACTGATGGACATAATCTACATGTGTCCTGTATGTCTTCTTGCTGTCAATCCACAGTTGAGAGCCACTGCATATTTCCGTGGTCCTCAGGGTTCTTGGGTGCTTTCCCTATCACACCTTGAGCCATCCAGGGAAGGCCAGGCAGTAATAAAGAGCAGCCCCACAGTCTCTCATTCACTTTACTGAGAGTCTGCATTTAACATGGGCTGTTCTAACGACTTCGCTTCTGCACTAGGGATGCAGATATCAAAAGGGCTGTCATTTGTTTTATGTTACTGAGAATTCCTTCCATGTCTTTCTCATATAAATAAAAGGAGAGATGGCCAGAGCAGACAAGAAGGAACCTGGAGAAATGAAATTATTTTCTGTGCTGCCAGTGTGTATGTTAATCCCTGGCACTTCAGTTAATTATAAAACTGGAAGAGAATTATAAAACCATACCTCCAAAAGGTCAAAGGTCAAAGGAGGCACAAGTTACAAATTTAAGATATTAAAGAAAAAAGAAAGAAAGAAAAAAGTTATCAGAGGCCTGGATGACTTTAGTTGTGACTGCCAGGTAACATTATTTAAGAACTCCATACAGTCATGGCTGCTGGGGTCTCTAAATACAGCTAAGTTATTGCCACCCACTACAAAAGTGATGATTAGACCTAGCAAACACAACTTTTTTCCTGAGGGTCCAAATCAAAATGGGTAATCTGAACATGGGGCAGAGCTGCTGGCAACACCCTGTCACAAAACAAGCCTGGAAAGGACTGCAGTTCATGGCCAACTCCCAGTCAAAGGGCTACAGTCTGTTTCAAGGCTGCCTTGGACACTGTCCCACTGGCCATGGCAATCTGGAGCACTGGCTGGGGAGCTGTGGCAGTTAAGGTATCAGTAACTGACAGGTCTTGGTTCCTGCCTCCATCTTGCAAGAGTCACAGCTCAGAAAGTAAATTCAGGTCTCACATGCTCCAAATACAAGACAATGCTGGAACTGCCTCTGCAAGAAAAGATGTTGCGAGGTAGCAGCAGTATTGTGGGGGGAGAAGAGAGCAGAGCAGAGGATGAGAGACAGAACTTAAAGAGTCAAAAGACTTTTAGTCATGTAGTGCAGGCTACAACATGGACAATAAAGAGGGTTGGTTTGGTTTTTTTTTTTCAGAGCAGGGTTATGAATATCCTAGTCTAATATGCTTCCCAGTAACCTGAGACACAGTGAGTGCTAGTTCCTTGCAGCTAGTTCCTTGCAGCTAGATCTCTCCCACAATTTTCAATGCAATAGCACAGAGGGGGAAGGAAAAAAAAAAAAAAAAAAAAAAAAAGGAAGAAAAAGTAACTGCTAAGTTCCTTTATTCTTTCTGCAGGCTATGGTGGGTACAGGCTGGCAAATGGCAGTACCACATGTTCAGGGAGAGTAGAGCTTCTTCATGGAGGCACGTGGGGAACTCTGTGTGACTATCTGTGGGATTTACCAGCTGCCAATGCCCTCTGCCAACAGCTGGACTGTGGAGTTGCCCTACTGATACCAGGTGGACAATCCTTCGGGAGAGGAAATGGATCTGTCTGGAATGGCACATTCAGCTGCAAGAAGAATGGCTCACACCTGAGAGACTGTTCTGTGAGTGTGCTAGGTCATGATGAATGCCCTGCTGGAAAAGATGCACGTGTGGTATGTTCAGGTGAGCAGCAGAAAGGTCTAAGAAGAGAACTGAAAAACTCTTTCTTTGAGGAAAAATATGGACCCAAAATCCAGAGGGTGTCTATGGAGCCAAGCTCCATCTTTTGTCTGCTGCTACAGGCGTTTCCAGGAGCTGAGGCTGCACTTCACCTGTAGCACAAGGCTGTTCTCTGTGAAATGCTCCTAGCATCAGGAAATATCAAGAATAGGGCTGCTCCACAAGGTAGGATGAGCTGGGGACAGAGTGCGAGGGCAACACAGGCATGTCCTTACCCACCAAGGCACAATCCAAAGCATCTGCATAGAGGACAGAGGAAGGTACTGAAAACAAGGTCTATGGACAGTCCCAGACAAGGCAAAGTAATCCATTAGACGTAGGGTCCAACTGGAGACTACACTCAGGAGTAGCAGGAGACAAGACTGGAAACAGTTACACCAGTCACAGACTGGTCCAGGTTTAAGTTAGTCCTTGGACCAGTAGCCTTGGATGCGTAGCTGGAGGCCCTAGGTGAGGCTGGTCAGAACAGTTAAGGTCTCTTGCTTCACCCAGAACCCTGAAACCTAGTGCCCCAAGTTTAAAAATTGCAAAGGGGACCAGATCCTGATTTCTAGTAATTCTTCTCAGTAAAATAGGGTGGGCTGAAGTCTAGTTATGAGTATGGAAGTTTCAGTGGCCCAGTGGAGTCATTTTTACTACTGAATGCTAAGAAAACTCATTCCCATTTCCCAGTCACTTTCATGTCATGCCTGCGAGCAGTTACGAACATGACACCTCAGTACTCACTTTCTCTTTTATTAAGGGTGCGCAGGGGGCAGGTTGGTGAATGGCACCACGTGCTCTGGCAGAGTGGAGATCCGCCATGGAGACACATGGGGAAGACTCTGCCGCTCTCACTGGAATTTGCAAGCTGCCAATGTTCTCTGTCATCAGCTGAACTGTGGCTATGCAAAGTCAATCCAGACAGGAGACCGTTTTGTGGACGGGAATGGGCCTGTATGGAGAGATGCTTTTCACTGTGAAGGGACAGAGTCCTGCCTGTGGGACTGTGGTCAAGTGACTTTGGGCAATCCAACCTGTTCGGCCAGAGAAGCAGCCACTGTTATTTGCTCAGGTAAGTCAGGAGTGGCCTTTTATGGGCAGTGCAACTTCAGACCAAAGCAGCATTGGCGATCTCACTCTGCCAAGTAAGTCTGGATCACAGGATCTAGTCTTGGAGCTGGGGAAGCCTTTCTTGCTTCCCATTGCAGACCTTTGTGTGCATGAAAGCAAACAAAGCCTTAACAGAGGCTGTTTCCTTAACCAGTGGTAAGATTTTTTTACCAACATTGAAATTTGTCTTCCATCTCTCTCCTGTATGTTACTTCTACTGCAGTAAGAGCAGTAGATGTTATTCAATACGTTTTCCAACTCTCTTGAGCCCAGGTCTTGCTGAATCACTCAGACTCTCAGGTGGTGAGAGCCGCTGTGATGGGCGAGTTGAAATCTCTCTCAATGGCATGTGGAACAGAGTCCTGGATGATGACTGGGACATTAAGGATGCTCATGTAGTATGCAGACAGCTCCAGTGTGGAATTGCCGAGAAAGCCTATTACATTCCAAGGTCTGAGCGAGGCACTGGTCTTGTGGGCTTAAGAAGTGTCCAGTGTGCTGGAAATGAGACTCAGCTAATGCTCTGTAAGACCTCCCATTCTCAGACAGTGCCAACGGGAGTTGCTGAAGATGTTGGTGTGATTTGCTCAGGTGAGTTACTGTGCAAAAGCAACAGAATGTTTCCTGGGTTGCCTCTAGCCCACCTTCTGCTGTGGCCTCACCTTAAATATGCAGGGGTCTGAGATTGTGATACCCACCTGCTTGTATACTCTAAGGAACAAATTGTAGTTAAGGAAGCAAGTGCAATTTACATAATGCTTTCTTCATCTGAATTTCTTAAAGAATTTATCTCACAGAATCAAAAATAAATAATAGAATACAGAAGTCATAAGAACACTAATTTGGCCATGACCGCCACACATTCTGTCACTTGGTAATTAAATAGGTTTTATTTTCTGACGTCTCTATATTTATAGATACCTGCAGCCTTTCTAAAGTAAATTAGAACTGTCTCTACTCTTCTCTTATTTTGTAACCCATCTGTAACAGAAGCTGTCTCTGTGTCTGTCCAATTAAAAGAGTTTAGACAGAAAACAGCTTCTCAGTCTTTCTAAGATAAGGTGATCTCCACATATACTTACTATGACTAAATACTCCTTGTTTGCAACATCTCGCAGGAATGATTCAAACATTTACCTGATGCAGGAGTAGGCCTTTTCCTTTATGCAGTTCTAGGATCATAGGAGTTCTGCCCAAGAAACCATCACATACGAAATGGAATATAATATAATGCCTTAAACATGCTTTAAACATAGAGCCATTACACAGACCTGTGCATTATCATTATATTGTATGTTGACTGCTGGGTTTTCTTCCTGCAGGAAGCAGACAGATCAGGCTGGTGAATGGAACAAAGCGCTGTGCTGGGAGAGTAGAGCTTTATCATGATGGCGTCTGGGGCACCATCTGCGATGATAAATGGGATCTATCAGATGCTAATGTTGTTTGCAAACAGCTGGGATGTGGACATGCCATCAAGGCATTTGTCTCTGCTTATTATGGCCAAGGCTCAGGACAGATCTGGCTGGATGATGTGAACTGCACCGGGGCTGAATCTGATCTCTGGGCATGTCCCTCTAGGGCATGGGGCCAGCACAACTGCCAACACAAAGAGGATGCTGGAGTCCTGTGCTCAGGTGTGTTCAGAGAATCCTTTTCTCACCCTGTGGGTTGAAAGGGGAGGGTTACAAGAAGGGGAAGCAGAGAATAGTGGAGACTTGCTTGGACAGCCTCTTGCTCTCTCTTGACTACAAGCATAGTTGGTCAGCACATCCCCTTGGTCCCACCAAGTGGCAAAGGGTCTACAGAAGTCCTTATTTTGCATTAACACACACACAAAATGTGTGGTGGGTCGGGATATTTGGGGGATAAATTGGAAGGTTTCTGTAAAGCTTTCCACTGCAAGGGGCTGTGGGTGTCCCTTGTGCAGGAGGAGGTCATCAACTGCCGTGTGCCCGTTACAATCAGTTACAGCTGGCTCTGAAACCAATGGAAACGACACACTGTGTACCAAAGCAACAACTAATCAGAGGAGCATATGGTGGATCTGCTCCTGCATAGTCAAGATAGAGTGGCACCTTCAAGAGAGAGGAGAAATGAAGGAGAAGTGGAAAAAGCCACTGCTGGGGACATGGCTGGAGACATGGTTTCCATACCAGAGGAGGTATACCTCTGAGAGGGCTGTGGCCTGTGGATAAGCCACACCAGAACAGTCCCTGAAGGATCTGCAGATTGTGGAGGACCCACACTGGAGCAGGTACCTGCAGCATGTGGAGGGCCCACGATGGAGCACGTAACAACCCTGAAGGGACTGCAGCCTGTGGATGGCAGTTGGTCAGCCACATTGACCAAGTACAAAACCTGAAGGAACTGCAGCGTCTGGAGAACCCACAATGGGGCAAATACAACCCCTGAAGGTACTGCAGCCTTTGAAGCATCTATGCTGGAGCAGAGGAAAATTAATAAGAAGCAAGGAGCAGCAGAAAAAAACCACAACCTCCTGCACTGCCACCCTCATTGAAGGAATTAGGAGGGAAAACAAAGGAAGTTAGGACTAATGGAGTGGATCAAAGGTGTTTCCTTCAGTGTTTGTTTAATTGTTAATGTTTTCTTTTTTTTCCTCATTATCCAAAGCAATAATTAAGTTTAAGTGCAAAAAATAAAATTAAGTTAAATTTCCCAAGTGGAAACTTTTGCCCATGATAGCAGACAGTAAATGTGGGAGATGCTCTGGCAACACTAGTACCTGGCATGCCTTGGGATTGGAATAATTGTAGTGACTTCAAAGCTCCAGAGAGGCCTTGATTCTGATATTGGAAATTTGCTATAATGTGGTGTAAGTGGTATGCTCATTGTCAGGGGGGTGGGGGGACAGGAGCAGGGAAGAGTACAAACTATGTGTAAACAGGTGGGAAATAGAGAGTGCGACAGGCCTTGTTGGAGGGGAAGGTGATTGGGAAGAACTCCAGTGGCCTGGAGCCTGGATATTTTTTTGTGCAAGACATGCCTGTGAAACTCCAAAAGAGTGGTGCGTTGCTTTGCTGTGGAGTACACCACAGCCTACCACGTGCTCACAGCAGGGCTTCAAGAGGCACTGGGACAGCTTAGCAGAACTGGCAATCTGGTTGACAGTCTCTGTCAGAGTAACAGTCTGGTAAAAGTGGTGTTAACTAATGCTCAGCACAAAAGGGAGGATTCTGGTCAGAACTTAGCAGCTAGTAGCACTGAAATGCTCAAATTGTAAGCTTCAGGGTACTTGTGGTAGCACCTAGAGCTTGAATTGCTGACCTCGAGGGGAACCCTGATACCTTGGGAGGGGAACCTAGGGGCTCATCATGAACTAAAAAATGAGTCCTTTCAGGCAGCTCTAGTTGCAATAAGGAGCCCTACAGAAAAGGGTACACTGTTCCCGAGACTGTGACCACTCAATGAGTCTTTGAGTGTAAATGAATAAAGAAATGTGGAGAAACTTACAGTCACTGCTCTGCAGTGGCTATGGCATTGCTGGGACACCAGAGCAGATAAGATACAGCTGAAAGCTTGAGACGGCAAGCAAGGACTTTGGGGAATTGGGGCATAAGCTATTTGTAAACACTGTTCTGAACAATGTAGGAGGGCTTTGGGATCAGTTTATGGAGACATATGTTGAGCATTGCCTAAGCGTGCTGATCCTGCAAACAAAATACCCCTTTGAAAGGACTGAGAGGAATGGGATAATCAACTGCAGTTTCCTGGACTGCTAGAGTGTGGTTACAGGCAAAGGGAGAGGGACCCTGAAAAGCTTGTGATCATTAATGCTAGGGCTTGAAATTTCCAATGGCTAGGCACACTTACTAATGCCCCTCTGGTACCACCTGGTGAGATGCCCTGTTGATCAAGGATTGACCTATGTATACCGTTCTGGAGTGAGGATGCCAGAAGAAGAGTGCAAACTAACAGCATGGATGAGGATAATACCGAGGATCCAGCGCTATGGTCAACCTCAGGAAAAACATGAAGAGAGAATGAGAATTCGGCATGTCCCCCTCCTACACTGGAGGGAAAAGCCCTTCATAGACCTAGCATTGTGAGCACAGGAGAGAGGTGACAGCTTATTTAAACCATTCCCTTCTTTCTGGACCACACACTGCTCTGACAACTGATTTGAACTTCCTGCATCAGGGTGATGAAGTTAACCAAAGTTATTAGACTGTCCAGATAAGGCAGCCAGGCACCCTTGCCTCAACAATGTTGCGCCCTAGTGGATACCTAATGATAGTGGCGCTCAGTGCACCTTATTGTCTTCTCTGTGTAGCACTTATAAACAAATAATTCTTGGAGTAACTGAAGGAGAAACATGCCCAGCTCTGGAGGAAGGGAACCTAAGCTTGAGTACATGGGTTTGGTACTTGTTGCCACTGGCCCTACTGCCCCTGTCATTCTTGGTTTTGACTTTCTTGACCTGTAGAGATGGATGGATGGGACAGGAAGGCTTTGGGCTTTTTGGAATAGGCAGTGTGGCTTGCATAGGTGAGAACCAGCTATGGGACTGTGTAGGACTGTCTAATCACCCAAACATTGCTGAACTTGCTTAAATAGACCCAGGTGTAGTCTCCTGGCAATCCAAGTAACTTGCTGAAAGCAGTATCAAACTGACCAAGGGGCCACTGATGAAAAAATAATTGTTTCCCTGGAAAAACAAGCAGTGGTCTTAAACACAGTCACCTTACAACAGTCCTGTTTGACCTGCGTGGAGATCTGCTGGAGAATGATAGTTTACAATAGACTTCAGAGCTCTGAATGAAGTCACACCCCAGTTAGCTGTTACAGTTCCAGACACATTGCAGCTCCTGTATGAGCTGGAAGCTAAAGAATATACCTGGTATGCTATAGCTGATATCGCAAATGCTTCCCCCGC